TACATTTATATTTTCAAAATTTAAATATTACATTTATTATGTACTTAAGGATAATCTTTAACAGTCTACAATGAAATGAAAAGCAATGGAGGAAATAAAGAAAAAACAGTGGAAGAGTGAGAACTTTATAACAGTGGGAGCATTCATTTGATGTGCAGAAATAACCAGACACTTGAGAGATAAGAAAGCTGAGTGTCTTTTTACTCTACCTACATGCATGTCTTTGTATACTCCTCCAACTTCTCTATTCGTTTTTCATGATCTTCTATTTGTTCTTTTATTTGTTTTAGATTTCCCTGAAATAGGAAAGGAAACCTAAAATCAATTACAACAATTCCTAACAAATTAAATTACATGCCTAACACATACTATAACATTGTGAGCTGTTGTAAATTTGAAATACATCAAATATAACTATACGAAAATATTTATGAGAGCAAATTTTAATTTTGAAAAGGCAGTGTGGTATAGAGCTTTGAAGTTGCACAGATCAGGGTTCAAATCTTGACTCCACCATTTGCTGGACATTTGATCTCCAGCTGTTTCATTCAGGGAGCTTCAAAGTCCAAGAGGATTATTTTCAATCATCTACACAGGTTTTATCTGTCCCTCAAACTAATTCATTTAATAAATATTTATTCACTGGCTACCATGTGATAGGAAATAGAGATACGATAATGAACAGGACAGAGACCTTGCCTTCAAGGAGTGAAGTCTGGTGGGAGAGAGACCAATAAGGAATTATAGTAGAGTGGTTTAATGTTAAAATCATATAGGAACTTTCAGGGCAACTTATAGGATTCTGGTGAAAGGACTTCACAAAAGTCTTGCTCTATTCATCTTATCATTAAATCCCATATGTAGTAGCCTCCAATTGGTTTCATGTCTTTAACCTTTCCCACACCTAATTCACCCTGTGTACTTTAACAAGATTGATCTGTCTTACTCCATTACTAAATGATCGAAAACCAGGAGTGTATGAAAGTAAAAACAAAATTCTTTTTCAGTTTACTACCAGGAAAGAAAATACCACAGTTTTCAAGTGGAAAAAGCCAAGCGTATTCCAAGATAATTATCCTGTTTTACTCACTTATTACACAAATTCACTAAACAAACCTCCACTGGGCAAGGTGCCAGAGTTATAAAAATGAGCGAGACAGCTCTTTTGCTGTAGGAATTCACACGTGTTGAAAGTAGAGTTCCCATACTGACGTTCTATTATCTCACGTAAGAATTCCATCCAGAGAGGGAAGAGCAAGAGTCGTCAATGAGGAGAGGACCAAGCTCAGCCAGCTGGGAACAGGCGCTTCTGCGCCTTTACTCTGGCCACTCCCAGAGCCTGTGTCATGCTAGACGGTCATTAGTTTAACATGCCAGGTGGGTCTCTTAGGAGACACCACCTAGGGGCCTGGGACAAATTTCAGACTTGGCATAGGTAGAAGAGTAGAATTTACTGGAGAAAAATCTAAAAGACCAGGGTCAACAAGAGAAGAGAAGGCGTGGGTTCCATTTGCTCTCACCATCCCACAGGGGGTGTGTCAGGACCTGGGTGCTCTGCTGGACGCATAATGTGGGATAATCAGACTACCCTGGTACTAGGCATTCTGGACTTGAGATGCTGCGTGATCATGCTCGTTGTCTGAGAAAACCAACTATTGCTCAG